AACTAAAGGGGGGACTCCATCTGTTAGATTTAACGAGGTCATTACCCATGCTAGGGTGGGACTTTTTGGTGGTGAAGCTGTCTGGGGGTCACCCATGTTCCTGTAAATAAACCAAATAAACTCATTGACTCACCAAACTATACTTTGGTCCACCATTGAAACCCTTTCTGGGCTTAACAGACAGACATTTGTTCACATCTCCCCAGGAAAAGGTCATTCAATAGCCTGGAAGATGTATATCCTCACTGCTCTAGCTCCATTCCACCTGCAGAAGGTACCTGCAAATTCACATCTCTCCTCTGGAGTTTACTTGTCCTTAGGGCAAGAACCACTGATTCAGTGGGTAAACTTAGTGAGAAGTAAAGGCCTTTATAAGGCTCATTAAGCAAGGCTATACAGAATAGAAATGTTAGAGGTTGTTCACAGATTTTAAATTACTTCTTATTTACAAATGTATCTGAATTTATACATGAGATTTTTAAGGTTCCAAAAGTCACAAGTAGAGTTTACTTGTCCTTAGGGCAAGAACCACTGATTCAGTGGGTAAACTTAGTGAGAAGTAAAGGCCTTTATAAGGCTCATTAAGCAAGGCTATACAGAATAGAAATGTTAGAGGTTGTTCACAGATTTTAAATTACTTCTTATTTACAAATGTATCTGAATTTATACATGAGATTTTTAAGGTTCCAAAAGTCACAAGTATATTACCATTTAACTAAAAAAAAAATGTTTCCTAGTTAGTGGAATCTTAGGTTAAATTCTAAAAGCAGATTTTGCTATTAATGAGAATTTTGAATCCCCAATTTATCTGTTTGTTAAACCTCTCTGTTGTGTTAAAGTTGTCTGACAAAGTAATGATGAATTAATTATTAGGTGCCATAGTAATTTGATAATTAGTTTCTGCTCCTAAGGTGCCCCCTTTGGTACTATAGTAAAGACATACCATGGCCAAGTCCGTGGATATGAAACTAACATGCAATTCAAAGAAAATAAGTTAAGCCTGATTTTCACTATCACGTAGAACTTTCCCTAATACAAGGAGCAAAGATAAAATGCAAACTTCTAATTCATGCTCTGTCTAACAAGTGGTACTGAGCTTATTGTACACTGTCCCATCACTTTTAATGAAAATTTTTAATCAAATCAATTTTGGGCACTGAACAAATTACTGAATGAATTGGCTGCAAGTTTTATCTACCATTGATGCTGAAACTATGCAAGTCCAAGTTACTGATTTGCCTGGGGAAATGAATGCCTCAAGGACCAACCAGGCATCTAAGTTCAGAGGTGAACACACTTCTTCGATAAAGAGCCAAGTAGTGATTATTTCAGGTTTCAAGTGCCATACAGTCTCTGTCAGAGCTACTCAACTCCGCTGCTGTAGCAAAGCAGCCCTGCAAATCACTAAAATAGCTGTGTTCCAATAAAGCTTTATTTACAAAAACAGGCAATGGGCCATATTTCCAGGTCCATGTTGGTAGACCTTCAGAAAAATGTTGCCAGTTCCTATCACCCAAGAATATTTGGACTGGAACTCTTTACACAGGAGGAAATTAGGCATAGCCTGATGGGTTTATAGGGCATTTACAGGAAGGAAGACATTAACTGACCGTGTTTCAACTGACCATGTTGCTGCTTATCAGAGACTCGAATTTCACTTTACCTATAATCTCTGCTTTCTTTTTGCTAAGTGTGACCTTTTAATAAAAATTTACACCTAGGTAAGATAATCTTCAGATTCTTAAAACTTTGCTAAGATTTTAAAACGTGACTTTGAGCTAAAAAACACGTTGTGCAAACAAGTGCTATAATAAGAATCAACTCCATTGGAAAATGTGCTAATCAAATTACTGTTTTAGAAGTTAGTGATTCCAATTTAGCAAGTGGGTACCTTGCTGAATTCAGTCTCTGTGAAACAAAGCTGGTACCTGCCATAATAGCACGATGTGATTTTATAGCTGAGGAGAGGAGGGGCATGTGGGAGGGGAGAAGGGACCAAGTATAATGACACATACATATGAAGACTCTGTGCTAAAACCCATCACTTTGTATGCTAGCCTAATTTTTTTTCATTTAGCAGAGGAGGATCAAACTTTATGGAAACTGCTTACAAATAAAATACAATACATTATAACCAAGCAAATGCTAACATAAAATTCAGTCTGTTGTCCATACTATGTACAGAGAATATTGCCCAGTAACAATTACATTTGCCACTTAGTTTTCACAATGACTTTGTAAGGCAGGCATTGGAATCCACACCATTCAAGGGAGGAGGTGAGATAACCCCCCAGCTGCAGAGCCAGCTGTCAAATCTAGCACTGTCTCATTTGTGATGTTTCTACGGCACTGTCCTAGTTGGGTGGATGTTATTTCCTATTTACATGAGACAGGGAATTTATGGAGAGGATCTGCTAGGGAAGCAACTTCTCTATCCAACAGACCAATCAAGCAGACCTCACATCCATGGTGGGGACCTGAAAACTTTCACTTCTCAGTGCCAGCACGTCTCAGCTTTGCCATGCTATTTTATGATCTTAATCAAAACCCGCGTTCACCATTAGTCCACCAACAGCAGTCATAGGACAGACAGGGGGAGGCACCATTTACAACCTGATTATTTTCTTAACCCTTTCCAGCACTTTGGGTACAGTCATTTTAGCTCATGCCTGGAGGGTGTTTTCTGAAAAAAGAAAGTGCCTTTTCAGCACTCCTGGTATCTGATTTCAAGCCCTGCCCTCCAGCCTGTGATTCTAAGTGGGCTGACAGCACTGCCTTGTTTTTACTGGTTTTTCCCACAGGGCTTAGTCACTCAAGGGACCTGAGTACCATATACTTGGGTTGAGGATAAAGGGATAGATCTGGTACATGAGACCTTTCTTCATTTATTTCAAGCCTCCAAAGGACAATCTAAGAGAATTTTAGCTTGTGTTCATCTGAATACACAGAAACACTCATTTCAGTTAGGTTACTGTTCTAGTGGAGTTCTCCTATACCTGCCTGGCCCCTGGAGTATGAGCAGAGAGCAAGCCCTCCAACAACTCTTTAAAAAATAATAATAACATGCTCATCTCTTCAGAAGCATTAGAGAAGAAAAATGTGTGTATAACAAAAGGAGGGTTGCAGCTCATGCCTGCAGGGAAGCAGCCCGTACCTCAGATGCTGCTGCAGCCAATGCATCATTTTGGTATCTTTATAGCTTACTAAGGGCAGCTCTACAGAGTGGAATTATTTATTTGTTTTTATTGAATTTTTGTGTATTTTATACAGAATATCTCAAAGAATCTTAACCATCTTCATACCCCATCCCTACCAGCAAGCTCCCACAGCCCCCACTGGAACCCATATACTCTGTCATCCTTATTAAAGCCCAATGTGACAAGTCCCCAGACATTCTGAGTGCAAGTCCATCCACTGAGGTCTACTCAGCCTATCTAGAGGCTCTACTCCCATTTAAAATAGACAAAGCCTAAGAATTGAAAACAGGGGCTCACACAAATCCCAAATGATGATTCCACTCAAAGCAAGAAGGCATACAGGAGCTTAGAAGCTTCCAAAAGGCATTAAGGCCCACCTGCCCACACCCACATAGTGTTTCCAATGGTTTGGCTGCCAGTCTGCTTCCAGAAAGATGAGGTATTGCTCTAGATACCTGATAGGAGCTGCAGGCTATCCAAACTAGAATATTCCTAATTATCTTAAAAGATAGGTATAACTCTCAAATATAAATTAAAAGACATTTCTTTTTATTAAAAAATTTGCAGGGCATGGTGGCGCATGCCTTTGATCCCGGCACTCAGAAGGCAAAGGCAGGTAGATTTCTGTGAGTTCCAGGCCAGCTGGGGCTACAGGGAGACCCTGTCTCAAAAAGGAAAAAGGAAAAATTTACATCTCCCTAATATCAAAAATGGGACCTTATAATCTGAGAAGAGTTTAAATTATGCCTCTGAATCACAGGTTAACAAGTTTAACTCCAGAGAATTTATGCAATAAAGAAAAAAAATGAATTGGTGTTAATGTAATTATGTAACATTTTAATCAATGAAGTGATATTTTCAAATACATTTTTATATAAGTCCCTCCCACATTAATTTCTTTTCTTGTTAATCCGAATTCTGTATATTAGGTTTGCTTGAAGTAAGGTATACCTAAACCAATTTAAAGGCAGTCTAAAGACTTAGTCACCTCACAAAGGAAGATAGGGAAATTTTTTGATAATATTTCTTGCTTGAGGAAGTACAGAACTGAGCCTTAATAAGGTTTAACTTTTGTGAGACCATGGTATTGACTGCATTTACCTCATAAAAGGAATATTGTAGATCACTTCTTTATGGTTTCCATTATTAATAACATGAGTTTCTTTTCAATCCACAGAAGGGAAAATACAGTTCACAGTTGTTCCACTCAACTCCAGGGATAAAAATCAAAATCAAAGATAAACCTGCCTGCTCTTTGCAGTGGGGCACACAAACGACACAGAATGGGATAAAGAAGGACAAGAGGCAAGAGAGAAGCAGTAAAGACAGACAACCAGCAATCCACCTTATCCCAACGATCCATAAGAACAAACCACCTTGGGCAGGAAGCTAAATAACTCGGTTAGAAATGGGCCCACAGAGGTAAACAACAAAATGAAGAGCGGGTGCCTATAAAAATAAAGCCCCTGGTGTGAAGACCTGCCCCAACCCCTTATCACATGTGGCTTCTGTCTCGTGAATCATAAGCTGCCCTTTCTTCACCACAGTGATTCATGCACACAAGGAGATGCAATGAGCTGTCCCCGCCTTGGGACACTACTAGTTCCGTTCCCCTCCAGCTTGGAAAATCAGCATCACCCTGACAGGCTGGTTTCTCCATCATGCTCCATCTCGCCCACCTCAGTCCTCTGTGCTCCCTAGGCGCTCAGCCCAAACCCTGTGTTCCCATCACCACCTCCAGAGCCCCATTCCCGGCCCTGCTTCTGCTTACTCGGTTCTGACAGCCACAACCAAACCACTTACATTTTTGCCAGAGCATGGCCTGTGACAGGATGTTGCCTTTTCTCTTTGAAGCAGACAGTTTGGCTTCTTTAATGTGAGACAGGGTGTGCTTTCCTCCAGTGGAACCACCGCTTACTCTGAGGCAGTTTCCTCAGCTTTTTAAAGGCCTGAGTTCCCGCTGAGTGGGGCCACGTCATCACATCCTCCCACCTCGGGCTCGGGTGTGCTTTTTCTTCAGCGACACTGCCTGTCTCCCCACTGTGTGCACACCAAAGCCCCCACTGGCCGAAGAGTGCTGCACACACAGAGTCAGCCACCTGGGACTACCCACCACACACTGAAGGCCACGGCCATTTGCACACACACAGTGTTGTGCTGATATGAGTGTGAGGGTGTCTGTGAAGAGTGGGAGTGTGGTATCAAGGTTTAGAGCGCCTTGCACCCTGAGGAGCCCGAAAGACACTTTGGAAAATGCTGGGTTTTCTCTGGTGCTCATACACAATTCTATGCAGTGCCATTTACAGGACTCTACCTACCATGGGCGCCGCTCAACGGGAAATGCAATTCCCAGGGGTCACTATTCTCAACATGAGAGGAAACACCTGTCCTCCCTTCAAGCCTCACTAAACAACCTCTCATTCTTTTAGTGTTGCTTTTCTGTTTATTCCACTTTGAAATTCAACGGCCCCTTTCCTTGCTCTAGTCCACACCAAAAAGGCAAGACTTAATACTGCTTAAATATAGGGGTTGGGGGTGTACTGCTTCAGATGGCTAACATGCCCATAGGGAAAGGGGCCAATTCACACCAGAAAGAAAGAAGGAGACACCCAGCTCCTTAAATGAAGCTGGAGCTGATTTCTCAAGGTGACTTGTGGGTTTAATAGGAATGGGGAATCTCTCCTAGGGCCCAAACATGATTAACAGGAAGTTTCCCAAAGGACTAGTCATGGGTTCACCATCTGCAGTGTGTGTGATGTGAGGCTACATTCTGCCACTGGGTATCTGAAGCCTACATGCTCAGTTCCAGTGATCCAGTTACTTTGGGGTCAAGATCACATGACTGCCACCCCTAGGGCAGGTCTAGGACCTTGTTGATTCGCCTTCCAAGGTGCATCAGAGTGATCTCACACATCCTGGATCTGATCCTGCCTTTCTCCAGTTTAAAAGCCTTAACCTTAATGACACTGTATGTAGCTCAGTGGTAGAGCACTTGTCTGGTATATGTCTGGGCCTGGGTTCAGTCCCTAGTACTACCAGAAAAAGTCTCCTCCCTTTAGCCACAGAGCCAAGGCACACTTGAGCACCTGCCTTCCCTTCTAGCTACATTCTGGCTGTGACCTGCTGTGACCTCTCCTGGATTTCTCTCCTCCTTTTCACCATCTGAATATCCAGCTCAAAGAGTATCATTTGGGGTGAAAAAATGTGACTCACCAATGCTCTTGGCCTAGAAATGAGCAGCCCCTCTTTTCTCAGCTCTTGAAGCACTCTGCCTGTTGTCTGCATGATGGCAAACCTGTGTGACTCTGTACGCTCCTCAGGAAGGATTATCTTTGTGCTTTACAGTGGACTTACAGCATGCTAACCCCCAGTAAAGTTCACTTAATAAAGTTATGAATCACGGCCTGTAATGAGCTGTTGGCTTTAGGACAGGTCTTGAGGAGAAATACTGGTCACATAAATAACTTGTTCAAAAAACAGAGGAGGTTCTCTCCTGAGTTATATGCTTTTACCCACAAACCTCTGAACTTCAGGATGGTGAAGGAACCCTGCTATAGAGGCTGCATACCACAACCTGGCCTAGTCTAGCAATGTCACAGAGCCTTAAGCCTCACTGAGGAGTTTCTATTAGAAACACAATCTATCAGTACTGGCTTGGCCCCAGGAGATGAGGATTCCCATCAAGGCTCTGCCACTCACTGGTGGTGTCCCCTTAAACAAGCCACATGACTTCTCATCTCTGTTTCCATGTTTATAAAATGAAGAAGTGGTTCTCTGGGTGTATCAGATTCTTAGGAGGATACAGATACTGCTAGGGCTCTCCAATGTTGTTGCTAATATTTTGGTTGTATGTCTTATTCTCTCCAAGTACAGGAAAATAATTTTTTTCTTATTCATCTCTATATTTCAAGACAGGCCTAACATAATGATTTCCATGAAGTAATAATAATAACTACTTACTATGCATCAAGCTCCATGTTGAGCCTTAGATATATGTTAATCTACTTCATACATAGCAATTTCTCTGATTACTCCAAGAAAGAAGCTAATGCTAGGAAATTTAATTTGCCCAATGTCATGGAGCTATTACGTTTTACGTTGGGTGTCATATCCCCCCATTCATGTGACAAAATTCAGAGATCTAAACAATTACACTAACAGATTTTCATTAAATTAGAATCAGTAAAATTGCAGCCACATGTCAGCCTCTTTGTCCTTCACAATAAAAGATCACATAATGAAAACTCGAAGCAGATGAGTATAAGCCCATATCCCCTGAGGTAAATCCATGACCCCTGGACAAAGAGATGAACAGAAGGAACCTAGAGGCCCTCTGGGGAATCGATCTTGTACACTGGCAGAGACATCAAATATCAGAGGCAAGGAAAACTAACACCTGGACATGTATTGTGAAATTTTAAAAAACTAATACAAAAAGGAAATTCTAAAAAATTTACTGAGAAAAAAAGAACATATTAACAAATAAGGATCAAGAATTATAATGGTGGTGTACTTCCCCACAACAAAATTATATGTATAGACAATAAGGAAATACTTTTAAAATATTAAAGAGAACGCTGTCTGTCCCTTTAAAACCAGCCAAACTGCCATTCAAATATTGTAGCATAACAAAAATATCTTCAGACCTACAAAGCCTCTTGGAGGAAGTATTCAAGTTAAAAGTACTACCTGGCAGGATGTTGTAAGAAATATTAGAACAAAAGGTCATCAAGTACCTGGGTCAAGTATATATTATATTATACTGAATTATATGCTGGGATATGTGGTTCTAGAGGAACTAAAGAGGATATTCAATTGTACTACTGCTTCTGTTGAATGAAGAAGAAAACAGAAGTTGAGCATCCCTTATCTGAAATGTTTAGGGTCAGAAGTGCTTCAGATTTCAGATTCTTTTCAGACCCTGGAATTTGGTATATATCATAAGTTATCTTGGTATGGAATCTAAGTTTCTTTATGTTCATATGCACCTCATACACATACTCTGAAGGCAATTTTATGCAATATTTTTCGTGTACATATATTCTGACACAATCTACCACATGAGGTCAGATGTGGAATTTTCTGCTTGTAGTGCCATGTCAACATTCAAAAAGTTTGTGATTTGAGATTGGGGGTTTTTAGATTAGGAATGCTTAACCTGGAGAGTGATGGATAAATTTAAGAAATCAATAGCAGAAAATACACCTAAGTGTAACCCTGAAGTAAGGAGTAACCACCACTTTCATTCTTAACATAGAAATACAATATTTCATCTTTAAACGAGATAAACTTAGACCTTTACACAGATAATAAGAAAGGGGTATTTAAGTACAGTGAGTGGAAAATAGAAATAAGATAATAGGATAAGTTTTAATAGTACAATAACTCCAATGAATATGAAAATATTAATTCCCTAATTAAAAGAGATTTCTAAATTAATTTAAATATTTTAAAAGATCTAACAATATAATGTCATAGTTATGACCGAAAAGAGCAGCATCAAATAAAAAATTGATATAAGCTTACTTCTAAAACTAGATGATGTTAATTTAAGAAAATTACATGCCATTTATTTATAAACAGATTCAAAAATCCTAAATAAAACATTATTTTGCATAATTCTATAGTGTATTAAGAAATAATAATAATAATAAAGCATAATATAATAAGGATAATCTATCACTATACATAAGCTTTACCCCAGGAATGCAAGGATGGTTCACTCTTTGAAAACTTATAAATGTAACTCCCCACACTGATGAACTATAAGAGAAAAATCATCTCAATGTATAAAGCCAATTTGATAAAGTCCAACATCTACTTCTTGTAATTTCAAAATCTAATTCTTAGAAAATTAAGACTAGCGGGCTGGAGAAATGGCTCAGTGGTTAAGAGCAATGACTGCTCTTTCAGAGAACCTGGGTTCAGTTTCCAGCACCCACATAGTAGCTCACAATCATCCAAACTCCAGTTCCAGAGTCTCCAATGCCCTCTTCTGGTCTTTGAGGGCACTGCATGCTTGTGGTGCACTTATATACATGCAGGCAAAACACTCATACATGTGAAATAAAAATAAATTAAATTTAAAGCTTTTAAATAAGAAAACTAAGACCAGAATGAAAGTTCCTTGGTTTGATAAACTGTACATCAAAATCTACAATAATGTTATATATAATGGAAAGATACAAATTTCTTTAAAGTACAAGTTTTTCTAATGTGTAATATGATTAATTTCCAAAGATTTTTACCTACAACTTTCAGAAATACTGCACAAAAGAAAGATATAAACTACATCATATAGTTGTACCTTGGGGATAAAATAATAAACAAAACAGAAATTTGCAGCATCATAACCCAGATAGTTAGTGCTGACCACAGAGAAAATCCATATGATGTGTCACCAATGCAAATGTTGGAAGACTAGAGATTAGAAAAACTAATAGCCTGTAGGTTTAATCATCTCTAGACTATAAAAATTTTCTGTTGCCAGGGCTGAAGAGATGGCGTAGTAGTTAAGAGCACTGGCTACTCTTGCAGAGGACCTAAATTCGGTTACTGGCACACACATGGTGGTTATCAACCATCTGTAACTCTAGTTCCATGGGATTTGACACTCTCTTCTAACCTCTGCAGGTATCGGCATGACAAAGGTGTCCTTACATACATGCAGGCAATATACTCATACACATAAAGTTGTTTTTAAGATTTTTTTTATTTATACACCCACTTCGCAGGTAGCATCCTCCCATAGCCTCCCTCCCCCCCACCAGAGCCCTTATATTCTGATATCCCTGCTACTGTCTGCTGTGTTGTCGGCACCCCCAGCCATTCCCCACTATGTGCCCTTCTGGTGAATCTAGTCAGCCTATCTAGAGGTCTTTGTTTTAGGAGGGTCAGCTGTTCCTCATCTAGTGG